CTCCCCACCCCAGGCCAAGTGGCAGAACCAGGTCTTCAAAGCCCTTCAGAAGGCCAGGAGTAAGGGGGCCAATCGCACCTCCGGGGGGAGAATGTTCCAAAGGGTGGGGGCTACCGCAGAAAAGGCCCGCCTTCTGGACCCCGCTAATCGAAGTTCTTTCACTGAGGGGGTCCAAAGCATGCCCTCTCTGTGTAATCTGGTGGGACAGGTTGAAGTCATGGGGAGAGGCGGTCCCTTAGGTAACCTGGCCCCATGCTTGGTGTAGTTTGGTGTAGTAGTTAAGGTGCTGGCCTAGAAACCAGGAGGCTGTGAGTTCCAGGCCCTCCCTTAGGCAGGAAAGCCAGCTGGGTGACTTTGGGCCAGACACTCTCTCAGTCCACCCACCTCACAGGGTTGTTGTTGTGGAGAAAATAGGAGGCAGGAGTATTAGGTATGTTTGCCACCTTGAGTTAATATATAAAAACAGTGGGATAAAAATCTAATAATAATAATAATAACTTGATAAGATTTGACTTATCAACTGATCAACATTTGATCATTTAGTAACTACTAAATGGAACAACAAAGGACACCCCCTCCCTAAAAAGAAAAAAGGAAAGAAAAAACATATGTAACTGAAGATGTGGAATAATAAGTGGAATATACGATCCCAGTTGTATTTTGTCTCTGGCTGAGAAATAATTAGAATATAATCTAATTGTTTTCCAGCCATGGATATGGCCAGTTTAGAGTATATCCACAGATTCTTGCTAGAGATTTGCTGCACTGCATATCCTAAATGAGCAAAAATTTCATACAAGACTGAGAAGGACAGTAGGACAAGGACATCACTTGGAATTATTATTTTACCATTTTTACAGCCTGTCCCGACTGACAGGAATTACTATAAATAGAAGGCACGTGCAGTACAAAACGTTATTCACTTAACAGAGAATAACAACTTCAGTAAGACAATATTAATTTCACTGAATGAAATTCACATTCCAGTAAAGCCATAAAACCATAAGCAGCCATGGGAACCTCTTGTGAACCCAGTTAGTACCTGGTCACTACAGGGACACATACAGGTTGGGGGGGTTGGCAACAATATAGAAGTAATTTATCCCTGCATTCTTTGGAGATATTAGCATATGGTCTTAGGGGCTGATCTCCCATCCAAGTCCTAATCAAGCTTAATCCGGTTTAGCTCTTCCAGTATCAGCCACTGTCGATTAGGCGCTGCCACCTGCTGCCATCAACCAGCAAATGTAGAGTACCCACTTTTTACAAAAGGGGCAAGCTGAATTTGGCTTAAGTCCCACTGAGCCCAGTAAGACTTCCTTCCAAGTATACTCATCACACTTGAAGTATCAAATTGCGTGCTGACATTCTCTTGATTTTAAGGGGATGAGCTTGGAGTTAACACAATGTCGGGAAGCCAAGCAAGAAATGCGAGACCCACTAAGGAGGGCAATGACCGGGCGATGGCACAACGCTGAAATATCAGAGTCCGCCGCTCCCTTGAACGCGTGGATGTAAAAGCACCCCAAGTGGGGTTTGATTATGGAGCACCGGACACGGGAAACAGGACAATGATTTTGAAATCTCAGTAACACGGATAACCCTATGGAGTATCAGCGGCTTGGATGGGGAATTAGGATTTACCATTCGTCTGTGTTTTGCTGAGCACTCCAGCCAGTAGCTGGGAATCCGGATCCCTGGAAAATGCCCGGGCTTTGAAGCTAGGCGGATCCGGCGATGGCGGCAACGGCGGCGGCAACAACAGCGGATGAGAAAGTAGCGAAGCACTCAGGAAGAAGAAACGGGGGCAGTGCTTCCGCGCCAGAGTCGCTAGCACAAACGCCACGCCCCCCTGTGCTCCTATTGGCCCAGGCGAGGAAAGGGGGTGTGGCCAGTAAGCATCTATATAAAGATGCTGCTACAGCGTGAGTTAAGGCTGTTGTGGTAGCGCTGGGGCGTGTAGTTTGTTTGGTTCTTTCGTCAAACACTTTTGTTACTCCCGTTCGAGTGAGCGATCCTGTGCAGTAGTAAGGCTCTGTTGTTGTTTTCCTCTAAACCCAGTTTATTATTCCCCACACTATGGGGGTTTACTCCAGGGCAAGGGCAAGCTTCTGCTTTTTTCCCCTTCTGTATACAAATGCTCATTGTGATAATAATAATAATGTATTAAACGTGTATGCTGCCCGACTCAACACCTCTGGATGATGATCTTGCTCCAGAGTACAGACAAAACATGGCTTTTTCTTTCCATGTAAGGTTTTCTAACCATTAATATTTTAATGATTGTTTTTAGTTTGGGTTGTTTTGTTTTGTCTGTGTTTTTAATTGTTTTAGTTTAGTGCAACATTTTGTAAGCTGTCCAGAGTCTGCTAGAGTGGGTGGCTAGAATAAATTTAATGAAATTCTAATTATATAAATTACTTTAATCATAATGGTCAAAGTACATGATCTTTGCCAGAGGAAAGGAAATGTACTTATTCCCCCAACCCCCCTCCCCAAAAGTCATTTTGCCCCTTTAGGGGGCAGAATAAGGGCAAGGTGAAGTTTTTGGAGTTTGGGGGGGTTTATTTTTTTCAGTACACAATCAGAACTTATAACCAGACAAAGTGTCTAGACTTATGTCAGAATAAAAGGATTGTGCAAAATGGTTTTGGCCCAAACCATTTTGAGTGTTCTTGAAATGAAATACCTTTTTGTTTACATGATCAGCAGAAATGTGCCCATTTCTGAGCAGCGCTGTCTGAAATCTGAAGTGTTGTCTTGGGTCTGGCTTGTCCTTGTTTAAAGAAGACATCCTGACTTGGCTAATAGGCAGCTGATGTTGGTTGAGGTTTGGTGGGTTGATCTGGGAGAGGCTGTGCAGGAGATGAGCCATTCTGGATCCATCTGCTTTTAGTGAAAAAAGAGCAGGACTGCTGCAAGGCAACTGTGCCTAGACTAGCCAACATGGAATTGTTCCCCACCATCCCATATTTGTGTTTTGTAGTTTCAAAGCAATGTAGAGGAATCGATGCTCATAGGCAGTTCAGTTCTTTTAAAGATTAAAACAATATTTCTTCTTTTGCCCCTCCCTGTAAGATATGCTTCTTATTTGGGGAAGTAATTTCTTTCAATCAGGTATTGCTTGTGTAGTTCTAATGGTGTTCTGCTTGTTAACTAGATACCTTAAAGGAACCCTTTACTCCCTTTTAAACAGATGTTTAAAACCTTGCCTACCTATAAACCTGTTTTAAACCTTGCCTACATATAAAAAGCACGCTCCAAGAATAAGCCATGATAATGAGAGAAAAGCTGATAGAGATGTGGGAATAATCAGATCAAGGTATGTTAGAGAAGATCGACATTTATTATCCACCAACCCTTATTTGTGCATGGGAGTTTCAAAGGAATGTAGAGGGGTGAATGGTTAGAGGGAGGAGAGAAAGAGAAAGGGGTTCCTCTACTCCCTTCCCCTTTGCTTTTCAGTTCAGTTCCTTTAAATATTAAAAGGCTATTTCCTCTCTTTTTCCCCCCTCCTCAAAAGGTCTGCTTCTTATTTTTGGAAGTCATTTCTTCCAATTATGTATTGTGAATATACTTGCAATCCTGCACTGTTGTTTTTTTAAATATGCACCTTAAATAGAGCATTTATTCTCTTTTAAACATAAGTTTGCCTTTAAGGCTTCCATCTGTCCCTTCTATGGGTAGCTGGTAGCTGCATCCAATCTTGCCTGCCTATAAAATAACCCCACTCATGGAACAAACCATGATTGCAAAAGACAGACAAGTGGATAACAAAGGGAGATAATCAGAAGGAAGGCTGGATCAAGGTATGTTGGTCAGTGAAAAAGACGGTTGGCATCTGCAATGAGACTTGGATGTTAATAGATCTCTCTTGCAATGGCAGCACTAATACCAACTCATGAATTGTGGTGGATGAAGTTGAAAGAAGACATTACAAACACACACCCCATGAAACAAATGGGAGTGGAAAAGAATTTGTTGATTCTATATCCAGGTACCCCACTCTCTTCCATCAGGAAGAGAAGATCAGGAGGAAAAGACATTGCCCCATCCTAAATCTCATCCCACAACTGTGATAACATTGCAATATGGTGAGTATGAGTAAGCTCTAACAAGTTTCATTCTTTTAAACTCCGTTTGAAATTTCTCTGTTATGAAAAGTTTTGACTAATAATATCTGGGACTTTTGAAATGTTAAACATGCACTTTAGTTGGAAGTATGCCAAATTAATCCTCAGTAAGATTTGTTCCTCTTTATAAATGATCACAAGAAATGTCACAAAGCAATGTTGTATCGTAAATATTATAAATGGGACACTTTTCAGCAGATGGCTCCTCCAATAATATGCAAGTACATTACAATTAATACATATTGGAAAGAATTATGCTGCACATGTGTTATATATCGCTCAAGATTATATAGTTGTAATGCCTTTGAAGAACAGTATCTAGAGGCATAGTTGTATGTGTATGTGTGTGTGTGTGCGCGCACGTGTGTGTTTACTGCTGATATTAGTTAGGCTGCTTTCTTTAGAAGACTGCTTACCCAAAGATGAATATCTACTATAACATGGTCAAGGTTTGGAAGTCTATGAACTAGTGTCTCAACACTTAAAAGATCTGGCCGTTTGGGTGACTATGTAATAGCAAATCTGTGAGCACAAAATTAAGGGACAGATCTTTTTGTCTTTAGTAGCTGAATCTATTCTATTTAATTGATTATTTCTCCACCTTTCCATTTTTCAAAGGATAGGCTTGCTTCAGACTTCCCAGTTACCTGCTGAACTCTGGGCACTCCACCCTTTGATCCACTCTGGACTATGAATTCCGTTTGATGCTTCAGCTTTGTTTCTACTTTGTAAGTGTTCAGCTTTGTTAAGCTTTGTAGGTGTATTGGCTTGGCCTCTGGACTCTGCTTTCAATTTGCCTCTAAGTTCAGGGGGCTTGTGGCTTTGCACTCCTGTTCTTGTTAGCAGCCTGGTCATTTGACTGTTCAGCCAACATGGGATAGTACAGTTAAACAAGTTTTTAAACAAAAAAAAACACCAAGTAACTTTGAATATAATAATAACATATGAGACTCCTTTCTATTCACTCAGATAATTTTTTCTAGTCCAATATTGTCTATTATGATTTCAGTTCAGGTAGTCCTCGCTTACCAATGGTAATTGGGACCAGGAACTCCATTGCTAAGTGACACCATCATAAGGCGCAACGTCATGTGACTGCACCAACTTATGATGGCAGTCCCAGTCGCTGCTATTAGGCAAATCCCATGCAATCGGAGCACCCTACAGTCACGTGATCACCATTTGTGACCTCTTGCTGGCTTCCCCATTGACTTTGCTTGTTGGAAGCCGGCAGTGAAGGTGCAAATGACAGTCACATGATGCCAGGACGCTGTGACATTGTAATTGTGAGCCAGTCACCAAGTGCCCAAATTGCAATCATGTGACTGCAGGGATGCTGCAACAACCCAACTATGAGGACCCTTCATAAGTGCCCCTCATTCAGCACCGTCATAACTTCAGTTACTGAATGAGTGGACGTTAAGCGAGGACTACCTGTGGGTTCTTGGAGACTCCAGCACAGATGTTTTATATATCTTTCTTTACTTGTCAGTAAAGATCTTGGGCAACCTCTGCAGAGCTATGTGAATATCATCCAAATCGGACACCCTTGAGTATATTCTACAAACCTAGAAAGCCCATGAATTCCTAAATTAAATGAATTACACAAGTGACTTTAAATATCGTAAGACGGAAAGATTGTAAGTTTAACTGCAAACTCAGTGTACCTTCCTGAAATATCAGTAACAAAGTGTTTTGAAAGTCTTATAGACTAGCCAGGTTTATAAAGAAAAATAACTTCCTCTTAAATCATAAGGCTTTATAGGCCATAACCATTATTTTAATTAGGCTGGAAAACAGCCCAGCCATGTTGTAATAAGTTCTCAATCTAGGAAATAGCAGCCCATAGAATTCTAGACCAGAATTCTAGTTTTTGAATCATTGTTAGAGGTAACTCCACAAAAAGCATGTTGGAGTAATCCAAGAAAATTGTAACTAAGGTATGCCACCATTTGACACCTTCAGGAGGTTTACTGGCCGTACTTACGGAGACACACACTTAGACATTTGAAATGCAGGCATTCACGTTCAGGTCTAAATCCATAAATATACCAAGATGGTAAACTTGAGTATTTGGAGAAGTCCACTTTAAGCTAGATTCTGGTTCCTTGATCTGCCTTTTGAGTAATCGGGTCTCAGGTAAATTCAGCTTCTTTATTTTTGTCTAGTCCATTGCAACCATCAGATCCTAGAATCTGAACAGTTTGGGGAATTTTCATTGAATGTGAAAAACAATCCAGTGTGTGGGTTGAGCAGAATACTCTGGAATGAGTACAGCTGTTTCATGTTCATGTTAAATGGGGACAAGCTAGAAACTGATTTATACTATACCATACCATAGCACTACCTCCTGTACTCATTCCCCCATTCAAGAGTAGAGTTCCCATAAAACAATACTGTACCTTCCATCTCACCAAGTGGCTTGATCAGATACTATAGCAGATCATTCAAAAGCCAATGTAGAACCAATAGGAACACACTCTTCCTTCTAATTCCCAAAGTAAATTATCCATAAATCTCCATTGAAATGGATCTCGAAAACCTGCCATTTTAGAGTGGCATGGAAATAACAGTAATGAACGAATACATGCTGCCACAAGTTCTGTTTCTCTCCAACACAGATTGGGGAACTTGCAGA